TTTTTTTTTTTTTTTTTTTTTTTTTTTTTTTTTTTTTTTTTTTTTTTGTTTCAAAGGTATAAAAGCGCGTATCACCCTTTCACGATCTCTTAGCACACGTGCCCGTGCCCATATACACACTTATTTACCAGAGCGGAAAGAAAAGCAAAGCTGCGGCGTGCGAGCGTGACGCCCTTAAAAGGGCTTGCACGTTATATACTGAGGCCCACGCGCATCCATCAGCTTTTGCATGTCATTGTATCCATCCTGCATATATACCGGTAAACACACATCGGGGACCTGTAGTATATACACATATCGAGGGCTATTTTCGCAAGCTCACAATGTAAAATAAGTTATACACAAGAGAGCTCGGTTGTGCATGTCCGTGGACATTAGCGTTGCTTTTTTTCGCGCGTCCGCTTCGGTGGGTTATATTTATATACCTGTACAGGTTTTAATGCACAAGAGAGAGAGAGAGAGAGAGACTCGGCGTCTCGTTGTCGTTGGCGGTGATTGTTACGCAACGCTCGAGGAGATGCGATTGAGCGTATTTATTTTCTTCTGCCCCATAAGGCCGTTCTCGCTTTCTTCTCCCGATCCTCCGTGGGTTATACACGAGAGAGGCTTGGTTTCGCGACGCGGATGCTCCAAGGTCGCCGTCGCGGCTGTCGTTCCGAAGACGGAGAGGATGAAAGTTCGTGGGAGGAGGAGGAGGAGGAGGGACCCCTTATTTACATTACGTACGTAGCCGGTGAAATTGTTATTATCATCATCTCCCCTCTCGAGCCTTGAGGCTGTCGTTGCGATTAAAAATGGCTCGTTGTTTTGCTTCGGTTGGTAGAGAGAGAAAGAGCGAAAGGATTCAAATAATTGACACGAACGGGTGGGTTTTTTTTTTTTCTCAACGTGGGATTCCCTGCAAAAAGTTGATTGGATTGTTTTTTGCTTTTCATTCGAATTAAAACTCACGAGTATATGCACAGTGTTGATGCCGTTGAAGGCGAAAGGTGTAATAAGAAAAAAAAGAGAGTCTATAGAAATTACATGTGTGACACTGCGAGAGGACAGACGAAAGCTCCGATAAATGTTACATGAAAATGTTTCTGTACGTTGCACAATGTAATAATAATAACAATACGCCATCTCCAATCGTGCAGTATATACATATATATATGTATACACTATATCACCGTATAGTCGTTAATTTGCATGCTACATTTATACCGTGGTAAATAGATACACGCAGAAAGAGAGTGAGGACGAGGGACAACAGCTTCCGACTTCGTGTATACCTATACTATATGATTGAATGTGTGTGTGTGTGTGTGTGTATAATATGGCGTGAAGCAGATACGTGGGACAGGTTGTTGTCCATAATACATTTATATCATCGCCACGTATAAGTGCTTGGGACGAGGATGTGTACATTTTAACGAGGGGACGCGAATATTTTGTCGCTCCCATGTTTCAATATCTACCAGATGATACTGGTTTTTTTTTTTTTTTTTTTTTTTACGTAGGGCATTTAACATAAACATTAACATGACACCCTCAAATAAATAAGTTGAAATACATTTTTTTTTTTTTTTTTTTTTCGGCTCATACCAAGTAAATAATATCGCACGTACATAAAAAAATCGTCCATCGAGTACTTAATCGTTTTCCAATAATATCCACATATTCAAAATGACCATGCGCTTCGATGTATAGCGAATTAGTACCGATACTTTTCGTGAGTATATTCATTGACGAAAATAGACAGCATCGCTGAGTTAATAGCTCATCCGACATTGAACCATCCATCAAATTCTCCCCTAAAATTTCGTTTTTTATACTCATTCGCACACGTGCGCGTAATATTACCGATTACCGATTACCGATTTCGTGCCCTCGTGTTTTCTCGCCGCTCCTGCCATGCCGTTGCTTCCCCGCTCGCTGTAAAACCACAATAGCCAGGTGGCCGTGCCAGCCAACGTTTTCATTATCGCGTCGGCTTATCGGGGGCAAATAGAGTACACGCGGCCCTGGGGTGCACCGCAATTTTATTTTTTTGCGTCTCCTCGATTTTCGCACCCAAGAGAGAAAGAGAGACGGGGGTAACAGAGTCAGGCCAAACAGAGTGGAAAAAGGTGCGTTGCGAAAACAAAAAGGGGGGCAAGGAAGGATATGCGTGTCGGTTGCAGGAGAGAAGGAGGGATTAAAAAAAAAAAAAAACGCCAACGAGCGTACCCTGATATATATACACACGTATATTATATAGGGCGCGTGGGCCGCAGGTGACGAACAGGTTTTCTAAGTAGGCGCTTTTGGCTCACCGGACTCGGGGGCTGCTACTTACTGCGACTGTCGCACACGAAGGTATAAGGTATACTTAGAGCTCGCAAATCACACAATGCCGGGGCGACGCGACGCATGTATATTATGGGCGTATTATCGCGCCTGACTCTATAATACGCCGATGCCGTTTTTCTTGTACTATTATTTTTATTACTGCTCCCGATGCCTATATGTGATTTTTCCTACTCTCTCTCTCTCTTTTTACTCATACATACAATTGAAACGTGCCACTTGCGCTGCGTATATAAAGGTGTCGTTCGGATTAAAGTGCGGAAAGTAGCTTCGAATGGCCATCATAAAAATTATGGTTTAGTTATTAGCATTTTCACGCGATTTTATTATTTGATTCCACAGGGTATGGCCACTTTGTAATATTCTAATTTGGTATGAAAGACATTTTCCGAACAATCAATAATTCATGGTGACTCGAGGGAAAGGCATTTAATTACAAAAAAAAACTAATCCAAAGAGCCAATATAAATGCATACACGTATATACGTGTAGCTCGTACGTAACAGGCGCCGTGTGCATTTTCGTTTTAATCGGTGAATTAAAATTTTCCTCTTCGATCTATAAATATATCACGTTAAAACGAGCAAATATGGGTACGCGCGCGTCAAATGATTTTAATTAAAACATCGACGGTATAGTTAATCGACAGCTCGTAAAACGATTATTCCCCAAAAATAAGCGCAAAAATTCCCGTATTAATAAAATCACATGAAAAATAGTATAATGTACGCACGCGTTGCACAAACAGCATAATATTTATACCCAACGCACCCAAGTAAAAAAGTAAAATTCAACGATTCGATCAGATAAATTACGCTCAAAGGGGCGTTTAGAGCGAGAGAGAGAGAGAGATGATATTACGCAACTGCAAAAGTCACATGCAGCCGCTTGGAGCCGTTACACCTACGGTTATTATAAAATAAGGCGCGTGACATAAGAAATATCAATAAAGAATAAGCGCCTTTTCTTACACACATACCTACAGTATACAACATATATAACCCTCTCGCGAGAGATCTCCAATGAACGATAACAAAGTGTGGGTACGTGTATAATATGCTGCAGTGCAACTCAATCCAGCCTCTCAAACACAATTAGCAGTTGGGCGATACTTTTCCTTTCTTTTTTTTTTTTTTTTTTTTTTTTTTTTTTTTTTTTTTTTTTTTTTTTTTTTTTTTTTNTTTTTTTTTTTTTACTCCACGCGCGCTAGGCTCAGTCTATATAATATGTGTACCTATCTACTGAGCACATTATAATACGGTTTTTCAATTTATAAAGACGCATAAATCATCGGCCCGACACTCGCTCTCCATATATACATAATGGAGGAAAAGAGAGGGAGAGGCGATAACCGAGGCGAAGGAAAGAAAAAGCCGCAATACTCCCATCGGAGCTGTATATAATAAGCTAACGAGAGCCTTTGTATTTTTAGCGGATTTCTTTCGACACACGACACCTACGAGGCGCGCCATGGGATCTAGCTTTTTGCTGGTGTAGTCTAGAGCTTTGAGGAATTTGAAAAAAAATAAAATAAAACAACTCGTCTTAGCTCTCGGTGTGTAAGGGCCGTGTCCGGCGTACCCGTACAAAAAAAAAAAAAAAAAAAAAAAAAAAAGAGTGGACACCAGCAGCAGCTATCGCGAATTCGCAACGCGTCACGTGTGTGTTTGCTAGTATAGGGTTATATACGTGTCGACGCCAGTGAGCATAGGATATAGTGACGGAAGTTTCTATTTATAAAAGCCGGTTTCCGTTTATTGCGACAAGTCGCAAGCCTCGGCAAGTATATTATTATAATGTATACATATACACTCTCGAGCCGATCGAGCAGGCCTTCTGCCATTCACTTTTTCTTTTATGTACGTCATCATTCGGAGCCACTCGCATCCATATACCTACTTGTCATTATACAGGAAGAATAATGCCGACGCTGCACTAGGGTGTGCGAAAATTTGACGAGTCCCCTGCATTACATAATGGCCCATCTGCAGCCGCGATGTATACAACATACCCCTGTGGTTTTTTCTTTTGGGATATGGATCGCAAGGTGGAGCTATCGTGATTCACGCTTCCGTTTTTGAACGATAGAAACCGGATGCGGCGGTGTGTACTAACTCGTGCACGGATTTTTGAAGTACATAGCTATACGTGCCTCGCTTTTGGGCCATCGGAACGGCCATACGTTTCCTATACGGCTCGTACGCGCGTACACCGATAAGATTCGGGTGATGCGTATTTTTAGAAAATCTCCCGTATGGATGTTTCCATCCAAGCAAAGTAGGTACATCACTTTTCGATGTTGCTCTGTAGAGTTTATTTTTTTCACGGTTATATACAGATACATAGGTGTATCAGTATTGTATGCTTATGTTTTCGCTTTGAAAATTAAATGTGCACATATAACCAGGGCAAATATCTCGGAAGAGGCCGTTGTATAATCATAATTGTTTGTTGCACGAGAAATGTGATTGATCGCGGCAATAAAAGCCCGGGAATTTACGATTACGAGGCTCCATTGGAACTGGAAAAGCTCGATCAAAAGCCCAAAACGATAATAACGAAATAGCTCGTTTTACGCGCTTTGTATTTTGTACATATTTATAAGGTGATTTCCATTTTGCGTGTTATGAAGCAGTAAAAAAAAAAATAATAAAAAATAAAACTATCGTGCTCCTTGAATGACGAGCACGAAAATTCCAAGGACGGAAATTACCTCTCCCGAAATTATATCGTATCGAGTATGGTATCGCGTTTGCGTACAGCCGCGCTCGGGATTCGATAATCCAAAGAGTCCTTTGTCCATCCAATAACACAAACGACGATGATAATAATAAACAATCGATCACGTTTTCAATCGCCGGTGGTTAAATATTTGCTTGCGCAACGCGCGTGAAAATGACAGCCGCGGAAACATCTTGCCAATGAGAGACGTCCCGCACTGAGATCTTGAAACGAGAAAAAAAAAAAAAAAAAAAAAAAATCACAAACCCATGAAACACTCGAGCTACCGCGTGTACAATCGCTAATAATAACAACGACGCAAATTAAGTCAACATAACAATCTGAAGCTCGTGGTGGCCGCGCAGGCGAAACAATATTGACGCGGTGCTTTCCGCGTACGGCGCTGCAATTCCTTCCTCGGTGGTCACGCGTTTTACAAACAAGTAGGTGTGGATGATAGATAAAAAAAAAGACAGGGTATTACGACTGTGCACGGAAACTTATCGGTAAATAAAATGACACTGATTATAAAATTATGGGTTGCCCAACTACGTGCTATACGCTGTACCTTTGTATAATGATCGGAAGGTGATGCACGCGTTAAATTCAAATGATTGAACTAGGGGGGGGGGGGGGAAGATCCACGGTACAACCGTGACACGAGCTCTTACGTGTCTGTTGAAGAAAAAAAAAAAAAAAAAAAAAAAAAATTGTTCAACCGATGATGTATCACCCCACGCAGCGTTCGCTCGTCGCTGTTGGATATATATTACCGCTTTCGCTATCATTGTGGTTTTCAAAAGCAATCGACGGCGGCGCTTCGCAAAATTGTTTTAACGCAATACTCAAAACAGTCATGTGTCATGCCTATGTGCGAAACCAGAATATCAAGTATACGCCGATCTACCGATCTTCGAGCGAACCGTGTGTTTTCAACTCTATGAGCTTAATTTTAGACCAAAGCGCGAAATGATATCAAGTACGGCGATGCAGGTTACTCTCGGGGATGTAACGTTGTGCAGAAAGAGTCGCGAGAGTTTAATCATCGATACGAGAGTGTATGAACAACCCGTTTTTCATTATTCCTCTTTATCGGTATATATATCGGTTAGACTTTACGTGCACGTGCGTGTGTGTATACATACCCTGAAAAATGAGCCGTGTTTTTTTTTCCAAACTACGACGATTCGTAAGTTTGAGGGATGAATTCGGGTGATGGCCGAACGAAAAGTACGTCCGTTCCGAAACACTGGACGTATTTAACATACCTACTCGAATCCCAGAGTATATTATACTCGAAGCTGCAATCGCAAGGAAAAAAAAAAAAAAGAGATCGTGTAAAAAAACGAAACGAACCAAATAGAAGCCCACTCTCTTTTCAACGCGAGTAAAGATCCCGGCGAGAAAGAGAGCACACGTATATATGTAAGTATAAGTATGTACACTTGTTACGAAACGCAAGCGCGAAATTCCAGGGGCTCGAGAACGCGTCGACCATTAACCTCGATACGAGTGGTCCTTCTTTCTCGAGGTGACGGGAAGAGAAATTGTGCGCCCCTTGGCGCTCGTGTATATATAATTGTCATAAGCCCACCTATACGCTTATACGGCCGCCGATTCGTTTGCTACAAGTATATACATATACACGTTGATCCGTTAAAAGCCCGCGATCGCCGTTTTTTTTTTTTTTTTTTTTTTTGTTTCAAAGGTATAAAAGCGCGTATCACCCTTTCACGATCTCTTAGCACACGTGCCCGTGCCCATATACACACTTATTTACCAGAGCGGAAAGAAAAGCAAAGCTGCGGCGTGCGAGCGTGACGCCCTTAAAAGGGCTTGCACGTTATATACTGAGGCCCACGCGCATCCATCAGCTTTTGCATGTCATTGTATCCATCCTGCATATATACCGGTAAACACACATCGGGGACCTGTAGTATATACACATATCGAGGGCTATTTTCGCAAGCTCACAATGTAAAATAAGTTATACACAAGAGAGCTCGGTTGTGCATGTCCGTGGACATTAGCGTTGCTTTTTTTCGCGCGTCCGCTTCGGTGGGTTATATTTATATACCTGTACAGGTTTTAATGCACAAGAGAGAGAGAGAGAGAGAGACTCGGCGTCTCGTTGTCGTTGGCGGTGATTGTTACGCAACGCTCGAGGAGATGCGATTGAGCGTATTTATTTTCTTCTGCCCCATAAGGCCGTTCTCGCTTTCTTCTCCCGATCCTCCGTGGGTTATACACGAGAGAGGCTTGGTTTCGCGACGCGGATGCTCCAAGGTCGCCGTCGCGGCTGTCGTTCCGAAGACGGAGAGGATGAAAGTTCGTGGGAGGAGGAGGAGGAGGAGGGACCCCTTATTTACATTACGTACGTAGCCGGTGAAATTGTTATTATCATCATCTCCCCTCTCGAGCCTTGAGGCTGTCGTTGCGATTAAAAATGGCTCGTTGTTTTGCTTCGGTTGGTAGAGAGAGAAAGAGCGAAAGGATTCAAATAATTGACACGAACGGGTGGGTTTTTTTTTTTTCTCAACGTGGGATTCCCTGCAAAAAGTTGATTGGATTGTTTTTTGCTTTTCATTCGAATTAAAACTCACGAGTATATGCACAGTGTTGATGCCGTTGAAGGCGAAAGGTGTAA